TAATAGACTTTTTTGCTGTATGAATATACGTTGCCCAGGGCGCACCACTTGGAGGTAAGTCTATCGCACACCCCGGGAGTGAAATATAAATTTAAGCAAATAACGGGTATTACCCAAGACCACCAACTATAATTAACACAATAAGAATTGAAAATGATCTTTCGAAGATAAGGTAAGAGGGCAAAATTAAGGCAAATACACAAAAATTCCTTCGCCTCAGTGATAAATTAATGGACAAGAAACAGATCTGGCATTTATTTTATGTGCAATTAAATTGTTGATATTTGGTTAAATGACACGACACAACTTGAACAAAATGTCTATTGATTACTAAGCTTGATCAAACTGATTTTAATGTGCTACGATGCAAGATATGCACGACATACACGATAAGAGTTCAAAGGCTGCGAGCTATTAGCTATCCGTTCAGGATTGGCAATATTCTTTATTGAAGCATTACGCATATAAAAGATCAAAAAGTTAGATAGAAACATAAATAAATCAACTTAATTACCTAGGAAAGGTTGAGACATTTCCTTCAATCGTTGAGAAATCTCTGGATTCGAGTGACCGCAAAATGTCGGTTCGGTGATTTCCCCCATCTCAACTCCTCTTCTACGCCTAATCAGTTTTTCATCTTGCCTCGTTCCATTAGCACGATAGATTACAGAGTGAAATGTGGGATTTGATAAATAATTTCCAGCGGGTTCAACAAAGTATACATCCAGTATAGTTAGCGGACTCTCCACGAAGAGACCAAGACTGTTAGCATTGAAAGCAATTGTGCCTCGAAAAATACCATTCAAGACGCTGCCATAGACGAGACTTTTAGGATGAGATTTTATATACCCCCTAACGGGATAGGCCTGGTTGTCATCTGTACTTAGAGGAAATGTCTGGCCACCAACAGAAATGGTGGCCGTAGGAGAAATAACACCCTCATCACGAAAAAGAGCAAGACTAAAATTTTGGCCAAAGGCAGTGAAAGAGAAAGAGGTCGGAAGTTGATCTAGGGAGCGTTTAGAGCGAGATAAAATTGGTGGTTCGAGAGTGGGATAATCTAAAGCCTCGTATTCGCCAATCGGGAAGATGTGATGCCTCTCGGAAAATGAGAGAGGAGATAAAGTGATTAGAAGGAGACATAATGTTCCGTGTGGATTCATGATGGAAGCTCACATATTCATAATTCCTAAATGCAGTTGTTAGAGAAATTCTAAAATAAATACAATAACTAATCATATCAGTGTGATAAAAATAAACAGTTGAACGTAGAAAATCTCAGAATTATCAGCAAACATATGATACTTTTTCAGGGTAAGAAATAATGGCAATAAAATTCGAAATAGATATTGACCTGAAAAAAACACCTAAATCCAAACTATGCAATAACTGGCCTAGACCATGAAATCAAAGAACGCGCGAGCGTTAAAAGGGCATCTCATTATGTTATACTGCTTATAAGACAATTGGTATTTACAAAAATATTGTTTATTTTTCGTCACATAAAAACATTTTTAATTTAAATAACTTAGCCTGTTAACAGAATCATAGACTCGTTTGTATGTATAACTTAATTCAAATCTCATTTAATCTATAAATTGATCAAACCTGCAATCTATTTCCGAGTATTCTCAATATTTTTTATTGTATAACATCCTTCAACTAAATGATTTAATTAAACACAACAAGTATGTTTATATTTAAAGTCGATGTATTATCACAAGGACCTCTACTTTAATAAGGCATTTACTGCAAGCCCTTTATAACCAATAGCCTTTTCTGAAACCAGTAAAACATATTCGATATTTTAATTTTAAGGTAAAAAACAACATCTAAAGACGATATAGCATTCTGACCACACTTATTAGTGGAGAGTATGAAATAGGGTTTATACAAATATATATGAATCACTAATTTTAATAATTAGAAGATGAACTTCTCTGGACAAGAAAATTTAGAAACCGATATCATAAGCATTCTTTCAGAACGCTCCAGTCAAATTTTTCCGAATTTTTAAGGCTGATTGTTATTCAAATAAACCTCAACCTATCCTCAGTTATCTCTGTAGTATTATTAGTTCAATACTTTTTTACGCACAGAATTAAGTCGTGGAACATGCTTATTTAGGATGTATTGCCTGTCACAGGCTTTGCCATTAAAATTGGACCAAAGGTTTACTAAACATTGCAGTGACTATTGAGTGTTGACTGCTGTGTAGTCACTGATCTCACTACTTTAAAAGTAGCATGTCTGCACCTTCGAATCTGTCAGTGTGTGAATGGCATTTCCTTGTTCAGCCATGGTTCACCTTTTAATATACATATTTATTCCTAAACTTTATGCTTATCGTATTTCTGTTGAAAACAGCATCCAATTGTAACGTAAATAATTTCGTAGGAGAAACAAAATTTTCATGGGACCCACACACAAGGACAAATTTCTTGAACAAATGAATTAAATTTCTCCCACTGATAATTTATAAGTAAATTATAGTATCTTAATAATTTTGGTGGAAGTGCTCGATTTAGAGACCACGTTCAGTGAGAACCCGATTACTGCACAAATGGCAAATGGTTCTTGAATGAGTGAATAAGTTTCCAAAAAAGAGTTGAAATTTAAGATTTATTTCAGATATGTGGACCTATTAGGGGATAATGAGGGGTAATTGTACTTTAGGATAAGAAAAAGAATCCCGATCAACATTTTTTTACCATTTCACCATTTCATCTCGCTTCCTTAATCATTGGAAAGCTTGAAGTTGGTACCGGCAAAGCAAAGCAATTTTTTTGACCTAGTTATCAAGACGAATCAAATATTTATTCACATTTTTGTGAATTTTTTTAACTTATCGGTAATGTAGATTGGGTTTGGAGCCAGCTCTTTTAGTTAACCAACAGATTTCAACTTAGATGGACAATTAAAAGGCCGTTCAATAATGTAGAAGTTTCAAATCAAGTGTGGGAGGAACGATCCAAGAGCAGTGAATTGCCAAAAACTCCGAGGGGACGAAAAGGAAGGAGAACAACACTTTGTCCTTGACTATATGCTGTTGTTCGACCTAGCTTTTTGAACCATGTAATTCACCAAGTCACTAACCAATTTTTTCATGAAACTGAGGCAAGTCACTGGCAAAATTTCTAACATTCAAAGCATTAGGAGACAGCAATTCGTTGCCATGCCTCTTTTTTGATACCATATGATCTGGGTACTTTGCATGCTGTATGCAAATGTATTGTGCATGCATAAGATCATACGTTTTCATGCATAAATTGGTCTCGTCTTTTAAGGATTTGTGGGAGGAAGTTAGTCAGTTGAAAAGTGGACTAGAAACACAAACCAACTCAAAGGCCTTTGAATATGAGTTAGGATGGGCTTTGCCAATAGGTAAATACCAAACATGAAAGGCACGGTCTCCAACAGCTCCAAAACATTAAATAATTTTTTTCGAGGATATTCATTGAAGTAGTGGTCTGTAGCTATCTAAATAACCAAGAATACCACAACTTTACGCAAAATCAACCACCATTCTTCGAAGCAATGTCAAGAGTATAAAATCGTTGCGTTTCAAAGCCATTAGACTTCAGACTAAATTTACTTAAAACAATAGAGAGTAATAATTTTCATAAATTTCACATTTACTCTATTAGGGGTATTCGACAAGCTGACCTCCACATGGCGCACCCTGGGCAACGTATACACATAATATAATAATAAATTTGTCAGTTGACTTTGAACTACGATGACCCGACTGCCCGTCATATTCGACTACTTCCACAGTATTCAACTTACCCTTTTCTCTACCTTTATGTTTGTCTCTTTAACATCTTTGAAACGCTCCTCTGTTCCCCCTCCCCTCCCCATCCCGAATTTTTCTCACTTTGATGTTTCTCCTCCCCTCTGTGAAGCCTGAAGTCAACTAAAGGGCTGATGATATCCATCAAAACGCCTGCCATTTGATATAAATAAATAAATTTCACCTTTACTCTATCAACAGACTGTAATGAACAATAAGAGCACTTATATCGTCCTATTAAGACTGTTTTCGATTTGGTAATAATAAAAAGTCCGCGGAAAGAACTTTAGAAGGAATGGGTTTTTTCGATCATAAACCTAAAGCAACTCCAACTCCGCATTAGGAGGCGGAGGCAAACGATTGAGTTGGTATTTAACTTGGGGAAGATTGCGATAGAAATTCAAGTCGGTGATGCTCTCATTGGAATGACGATAGTACCAGTCCTGCCAATCGTAGAACCAGCGCTCTGTGACATCCAAAACTTTGGCATTGATATGCATAACAAATTTATTGACAAAGAGATATGGTGAGTCGGGTTTGAAGAGCGGTTTCATTCCGTAGAGGTCGTAAATACACACCGCGTGACGCCAGACGCCACTACACTCACTTGGGAAGAAGTGTTTCCATCGGTTTATATAGGAACCCCCGTTGCGATAGTCTTTATCCCCGTCTACCAAGAAAATAAAATGTGCGCATTATTCTTTTCGTAGACAATTAAAGATGTGGAAAATCAAAAGCCAATATTTACCGTTGCGGTAATTGTATTTGCAGGCATTTTAGAGTGGAACAATTAAAGTAATTTTAGACACGTATTCTCTTCGATACTGTCAGAAGCCACTAATGTGAATGCAATTAACCTTCGAACCCACTCTGTGCGCGTTGATAAAATCTTAATAACGCAACCTGTCAAGTGTTGGCGTTGTTTTATTTCGTTGTGCCCCCACTGTCGCGTTTTCTCCAAGTGCTCGAAATATTCGTCACCATGGTTAAAAATGATGGTAAATTCTAGCTTCAATCGGAGTAAATATGACCGCATGCTAATAAACACCAACCTCAAAGCTACAGTGTGCTCGTTGAAGTTGATCTGTGTTCTTAATCAAAACTTAAATCAAATGACAAATTAAAATTGTAATAACTTTTTTTCGGGAAAAAAAACAGGTTTTAACTTTGAGCACATCCACACATTTAATTTTTTCAGTCCTCTAAAATATACGAATTTAAACAAAATACCGTCCAACCCACATTTTGAGTACTCCTGCCAATATAAAGACGGATGACAGGACGCCCTCAAGTAAACTAAACCAAGCTACAAAATGTAAGTAACTAAAGCACTCGTAAGTTTTAATACCTACTGTGCAAGTGGAGAAAAGGCCAAGGCCATCGTAACTTTTTTTCAGATAGGTTCAACCGTTGATGTCATAACTCCTCCAAGAAAGTCGATGCTGAACTCTCAGCCAAAGGTGCTCCGTAATAGGGACCCTTTTTAGTAAATAGCCTAAAAAGGCATGCTTACACCTAATTTTAAATTTAAATCTGATCTGGTGGGATATTTGTGCTTCCACGTTTCCTTTAACAAGAAAAAATCGATTAATTTAATGGATGCTTTGTTGAAAGTAGAGCCAACTTCACGATTTCAATCCCACTTGTCATCACCGAACTCAAACCACCACTAGTGGTTAAATATATTTTTAAATATGCTCCCATCATTGGCAAATATTGCAATCAGTAAGATAGCATTTAATCGTCTAAATCAAGGTGAAAACTCATCTTTCTTTAAATTGATCAAAGTGTTTCAGTGGAATAAACCATAAGTCGGCGACGTCGAGGCAAAATTTAGCTTTTTGAAGGTAACAACATGCATACCTCAAGGGTGAACTAACCAACTAGTTTTGAAAGAGTTTCAAGGAAGTGAAGAGCCAGGCCTATAGGTGCTTTTCCCTCGATTTACTGATATACAAACTATTTCGGCAATTGGGGGTCCATGAAATCCCGTTAGTTAAAAATACTCTCATCTAATTACTTATTTCATCACAGTCTTGCAAAATTTATTTGCCACGCTTCTGTTAGTGAATCTATAATAACAATATTGTCGCCTTTTAAAGTTCATTTCCTAACCGTGTTTTAGAAATACTTCTATAATACACACCAATTACAAAGCCCAAAATGCAAAATTTAAAAAAAAACATTAGAAGAGCTAAAGGCCAAGTAGGCACATTGAGCTAGCAATTACACTTATTGTTTTCCCATTTTTCCGCACTTATCGAAAATCAATAATCGATTTTTATCCCCTATAAGGCCCTTAGGATCGTATGGCCCCATTAGTACTAGACTAGTAATAGAAACGGCACGATTGCCATTTGAACCATGATCAATACTTGTCCATAGCCATCGCCTGATGCACCACCAAAACTCATCACGCCGGTGGCACCAGTCTGCTGCTGTGAGACACGTGTGAATGTGGTTCAGTGCATTTCTCAAAAAAGAAATAATTCCGACGTTAAAGGGTTCAACATTGGAGAAATAGCAAAAAACGCTCCAATCATTTCGATTAATTGACCTGGTGGCTTTGATGGCCTTGCTACTTCTCTACTAACTTCGTCGTTTCAAAGCGACAGGATTAAATGACAGCTTTCTACGAGGTGAGTGCTTTCTTCAAGTTAAACCTTTATTGCATCCTGTATATTATGCAACTTCTGACTTAGTTAAACGAAAAAGAAGCAAAGCATAACTTTTATGTTTTAAAAAGGGGCCACTTTTATATGCGGTACAGAAGATGTTTGCCAAGAATTATAGACCGTGGTTTGTGAATGCTACAAGAGTTACATATACTTTGTGCATGCTTTCAATTGATTTCAAATAATCTGGGACCATGATTATGAAGTATGCTTTTGCTGAGACATAGGTGTAAGTGAATATTCGTTCATGAACCCAGTGGAGTGTGTACAAGGACAGCCAATTAGAATATTCTGGAAAGTGCAACCCCTCGACCGATATCGATCGCATAGCGAGAAAGTACAAGTGCATGCATACACAAGGGGGTTCGGGATAAATTTGATAAAATAATAGTACACTACACTTTTTTAGGCGATTAAAGCTCCTTTTTTCATTCATTTACGCGACGACAACGAATATAGATGGTGACAGTTCCCTCCAGATGCCAGTGGTAAGGAGGTTATGGTCTCAACTATGAAAAGAAACCGTAACTAGCATTAAAATTGTAATGTAGACCACAAAGAAGAAAGTAGTAAAAGCAGATGTTATGATTTGATTGAACTTGCACAGCAAAAATCGCCCTAGAAAACTGATACGGAAGACGAGTGTTACAGCACTATGGCATCGAAATTTGCGTCTTATTTCCATTCAGGGAAAGTAGACGGTGGTTGCGAAAAATATTTCGCGACTACGTCAGTTCCAATGTACGTTTGGCCTCTGGTGTCCCGCCTCCCGAGGGATTGTTACGAATGCAAGAGGCGCTGACGAATGACACCTATCACTATTCCAGATCTACAAAATTGCTGTTATTAAGAGGAGTGGAAGGTAGGGACCACAGAAGGGGGTTGGATTGAGGCTTCAATTAATGCTACTGGGAGATCTTTTTGAATAAGATCCTTTGATGATTGGATGATTTCATTGTCTATTGAATTTATTCTGTAGTTAATAAAATCCTTTCAATTTTATCTAATTAGACTGTCAATTTTTTTGCGGATCAACGAGAGTATTTAAACTGCAGTCCTCGATGATAAATTTATAATACAAATAAGTACTGAAACAGTCACTTACAAGGAAAATTGCCCGGGGCATTGAGCATAGCGTTGTGGTTGACTGTGGAAAATAGAGCTTCATCTGGAATGCCCACTTCAGGGAGAAAATCCACGTAATCTTGGACTCGCTTGTCAGTGAAGAGGAAGTTGACAAAGTCCCAAGTTACTACGACATGAACTGCACCCTTGTGCAGCGTAAGTCCATGTGGTGGAGGTCTCCATGGGCGACGAACCCAGAAGAATCTAAAAAAAGAGAGAAAATAGAAAGAGCTTAATGAATGAAAAGTAAGAATACTGCATTTGTAGTCTCAAAGCACTCAAATAACTGAGGAAGTCTCTATTAACCTATCAAAAGGCAATGTAAAATTTCTCTAAGCGCCCTATTGATTTAGTATGATTCTAAGAGTATTTATTTATATCAAATGGCAGGCGGTTTGATGGTTATCATTTGCCCTTTAGTTGGCTTCAGGTTTCACAGAGGGGATGGAACATCAAAGTGACAAAAAGTTAAGGAGGGTGGGGGGAATAGAAGAGTGTTTCAAAGACGAAGGTAGAAAAAAAGGTGAGATGAGTACAGTGAAAGTAGTCAAATATGACATACAGTGGGATGATGGTAGTTTCAAGTCGTAGGTCAACTGCCGGTTAATAGACTTTTTTGCCGTATGAGAATGTAGGACATATAGGGGGGTCATGGTAGTTTGAAGTGAGAAGAAAACTGCCGGTTAATAGACTTTTTTGCCGTATGCGGAGAAGTCAACTACCAGTTAATAGACTTTGCCGTATGAATATACGTTGCCCAGGGTGCACCACGTGGAGGTAAGTCTATTGAAAAACGAATGCCGAGTGATAGAATTTTTGCCGTAAGAAAGTACGTTGCCCAGGGTGCACCACGTGGAGGTAAGTCTATCGTAGTTAACTGCCAGTTAATAGACTTTTTGCCGTATGAATATAACGAAAGCCGAGTGATAGACTTTTTTGCCGTAAGAAAATACGCTGCCCAGGGTGCACCACGTGGAGGTAAGTCTATCGCACACAAACTTCCGGTTAATAGACTTTTTACCGTATGAGTATACGTTTCCCAGGGTGCACCACGTGGAGGTAAGTCTATCGCACACCCACCAGGGTGCACCACGTGGAGGTAAGTCTATCGCACACCCCTGATTCTAAGAGTAAAACATCGCCATTCCATAAAAACGCTTTTCTAGGTAACAGTGTGCTATGGACTTACTTCCACGTGGAGCATGTGAGCAACATACACTCATACAGCAAAAAGGCCTACAATTTTTTTAGTTGCCTTCTGGCTCCAAAGTACCATGACCCGATTGCATGTCATATTCGACTACTTCCATAGTACTCACCTTACCTTTTTTCTACCCTTGTGTTTGTCTCTTAAATCTTTGAAACACTCTTCTGTTCCCCCCCCCCCCCTCTCGACTTTTTTCAATTTGATGTTCCTTCCCTCTGTGAAGCCTGAAGTCAACTAAAGGGCTAATAGTAACCATCAAGACGCCTGCCATTTGATATAAATGTTCCTTCTCCTCTGTGAAGTCTGAAGTCAACAAAAGGGCTAATGATAACTATCAAAACACCTGCCATTTGATATAAATAAAGTAGTTGAGAACCACACGAAAGACTCATAGTTGACACGTCAAGCATAGGTAACATGTAGGCTTGACCTTACATTGGATAGTTGGGGTGGGGGTGTTGTTGGGACTAACTCATCAAGGTCAATGGGAACATTAGTTTGAAAGTTAAACCTACCCCAAGAAGCCTAGCTTTCGAAGTTGAGTATGCTCCTTTAAATTAAATACACTCATACAAATGTATTATATCTTAGTGTTGTGGTCAGGTTTGTTGACGTAGGAAGCATGAAATGGCACCGCCCTCGTGTGCTACTGAGGATTTATTGAAAACGACAAGGAAATTAGAGTTAATCATTTTAAAACTCAATTCCTGGCAGAGAGGTGTGGAAAAAAAGTGATCCAAGCACTTATTCTTGAAGTAAAGCTCCACTAAAGTTTCTGTTACTAAAACTCCTATGTTATCTCTGAACTTTAAGGAAAAAACACTTCCTAAATTGGAATTGAATTGAGCTACAAATGGCAAACCAACAGTCCGATTCCATGTTTTCATCTTCAAAATACAATGCGCTTTCCACCCCAATAAAGATTTCAAAAATTGAGCACAAACATCAACTATCAAGGAGGTGTTAGGAATGAAGACATTTAATCTCTCATAGTTCATACAAATGCCCATCTTTGAAAAAAAAAACGCTCTAAAAATTTAATATAGTTAATACTATTACTTGGACTACTGCTTACGGGAGGGACATTGCGGAAATAAAACAGCACACGCAGAGATCAGAGCGAATTAAATGGATTCCAAATATTTTTCTCAGAATTAAAAAAGAGAAATATGTAAAAAAAGTGAATTGCTGTGACAGAGACTTCCTATGAAATTAAATTTACAACTGAGGGTATGCGATAGACTTACCTCCACGTGGTGCAACCTTGGCAACGTATTCTCATACGGCAAGTCGATTAACCAGCAGTTGACTTCTCACTTCAAACTGCCATCACCCCA